GCTCTTTCAATCTTTTAAACAGCCATAAACGATCACTTTGGTTTTTTATTAATTTAACAAGAGAACATTTTGCCCCCCCCTCTGGTCCACTTAAGTAATTCAGAGTGTCATTGTACAGGCAGAGAGGTGAGCTGTCGACACGACTTAAGCACGCCATATTTCCACATTCCTGGCTGAGGTGACCCGTCTCAAAACACGGGACATGGATCGATGTGGAAGAAGTTCTTTTAGAAGGACACTGACAGCTCTCCTGCCCCAAACGCCCTCCAAATACCTCTGTGAAAGCCATTCGTCATCGTTTTCAAAGCAATCTGAGAAGCCTGGATTGATTTGTGTTTGAGCGAAAATACAAATTATGAATGTGAACACGGAGCAGGGCAGGTGTTGTAGTAGTAGTAAGTAGTAATCTTTATTTATATACCGCCTTTTCACTGCACATCGGAGTCTCAAAGCGGTTTACAATTGTGATTTTTTTTTGGGAGTGGGGGTGCCAGTACAGGAGGCACATGCCAGACCTATTGTACATATTTTTAGTGGAAGGGGAAACCGGAGCACCCGGAGGAAACCTACGCAGACACGGCGAGAACATGCAAACTCCACTCAGAAAGGCCCTGGTCCAACCGGGATTCGAACTCAGGACCTTCTTGCTGAGAGGCGAGAGTGCTATCCACTCAGCCACCCTGCCGCCCGTTGTCATGGGGATAGAATTAGCTTTAAAGCTGAGGAACCTAACTTTCCAACCACAATCTTCTATAGCTACAGTATGTAATAAAGTGCGTGTGAATAGCACCTGGCTCTAAAACCGTTCAGTTCTATCACTATTTTTCACACATATGTATTTTTGGCTTCTGTTACATCTTCAGATCTGCTTTTTCAGACATAAAAGTGAAAAAGAGGGGACCATTCACTGTCATTATCATCATTATCTTGTGCTGTCTGAAGTGAGTCCAGTTTCAAGGTTGGAATATGGATTCAAAATCAATCAAATATTCACAGTATCTGTAAGTAAAGGTAGCAGCTGTATAAGTCACATGTGAGCTGAAATGCTGATGGTGTAACTTTGGAGCGGTATCCAGCTCGAGCGCCATGTTCTCATTAGCTGCACACTTCTCTGACAGACTTCTGGACTCCGCTCGTCCCTTATTTGGCAGTGGAGTTTGAGAAGTGTCTTAGGCCCTGTCTACGCCAAGTGAAATTCAGTCAAAATACTTAAAATAATAAATCCAGTGCATCATTAACACAAATGTAAATCTGTTAAACCGGGTTCAAGAGAGGAAAGATCATCCGAGAGGGGCCAGAAAGAAACCAGAGAGAGACCAGAGAGATCAGAGAGAAATCAGAGAGTGACCAGAGAGTGGCCAAAGAGAAACCAGAGTGAGAACAGAGAGAGAACAGAGAAAAAGACCAGAGAGAGAACAGAGAGAGACCAGAGCAAGAAAAGAGAAACCAGAAAGAGACCAGAGAGAGAACAGAGAGTCCTGAGAGAATCCAGAGAGACCAAAGAGAGAACAGAGAGAACAGAGAAAGACCAGAGAGACTAGAGAGAGAGACCAGAGAGAGACCAGAGAGAGACCAGAGAGAGACCAGCCTGTTGAAAATTGTTTTCACTCTGAATTACTGACAGAATCATACACAAATATTGGATTATTCATTTAATCATCCACTGTGTTAGGTCTTGGTTCAATAGATTATATGCAATCATTTGAATATGTTTTAATAAACATTGAACCAGTCCGGCCCTCGCCTTGTAGCAAATTCGTTTTTTTGGTCCTCTGATTAATTTGACTATGACATCCCTGATCTAAAGCAACAGTATGGAGTGCTTAGTGTTTAGAAAGAACTGTACATCTCTTTGCAAACCCCAAAGGCAAGACGTTTTTATTTACATAGGACATTTTGTAAACAAAGGCAAGTGTTTTAGATGAAAGATGTGAAACAATCATAGGCATTCAAATCATAAATAATCATAGTACATTAAAAATAGTGACGATACAATTCTTCAGTTGTCTGCTCAGCTAAACGGAACTGTTTTTAACCTGGATTTCAACATTGTCAGATTAGAAGCCTTGCTCAGATTTTCAGGAAGACAGATAGATATAGATAGATACTTTATTGATCCCCAAAAGAGAAATTCAGGTGTCCAGAAAACAAAAAATAAAATTGATTATTGATTATTATTATTAATAGTAATAATCAGCAACAGCCCTTCAGGTCACAGCAGCAGAGGTGGAGTAGCCGCTTGGTTCGGACCATTTTCTCTGCTCTAGTCCAAAGTAAAATGCCTGATGCTTCATTAGCATTTAAAAAAAAGTTGCCATTCCTTCATTGGATTTTCACCTGATCCGCTTGGTTCGGACCAAGAATCCTCTCCGCTCTGGTCTGGACCAGTGCAAAACCATGAACACTGTACTGCAGCAACATTTCAGGTAGAAAAAAGCAAGAAAAATAAAAAATTGTAAAGCACAAAATAACTGTTTCAGAGCTACTTAGGACTTGCAGACGTTTTTCAGCGCATTCAAAAGTTAACCTGTAAAGACGCTGCCATCCCCATGTTTAGTCCTGACTCTGGGCACCAGCAGGAGGCCAGGTCCCTGTGCTCCTCAGAGTCCCAGCAAGAGAGGAGTGCCAGTTGGTTCATATGGGACCAACATGTCACGAATGTACGTTGGTGCGTGGCCTTGCAGAGACTTGTTACAAAGCAGTGTTCCACCCCTGCATCATAATAGAATCATAACAAAGTCTCAGTAATGGCTTTGGGATCACTTTGGATCTCTCTCGTGTCAAAAAGACAGTGTGTTTTAATTGGTCTGCGCAGCTCGGCTCTGAGGCGTTTCCATATTTGGAGGTAAAATGAAAGTGCTGGGCTGACTGCAAACAAGGCTCATATTTAATTCATGTGTCGCTGATGAAAGTTGTTTGGAAAAATCTGCTGCTAGGTGCAAGGCAGACAGACTGTGTGGATAATGGGAGATTTTCACTGGGATTATTATGTATCAAGAAGAGTACCTGCAGTTGATGACAAAAACATGTGTAGTTTCAGTCCAATGAGGCTCACTTGGTCTGATAGATTCTACAAGTTGATACTTTTTATAGTGCTTCTTTTATTTTTATAAAAGGACTATGCAGCAGGATTATGGACTGGGCCATCTCTAACAACCGTATAAGAGAGAAACATATTATGGACTGGGATGAAGCAAATATCTCAGGGATTTGAGAACAAGAATCACCTACATTGGATAAAAGAGGCAATACAAATATGGAAATGTGCCCCCAGGACTTTAAACCGGGATGAGGGGGCTCATGCACTCTCACACACCGACTGTCCTGAAGAAGTGGGACTGTAGATGGTGCTGTCATCCTGCCTCTGGTGGTACACAGACGGCGCCAAAAGCTATGTAAAACAGAGTTGCTGTGTTGCTAAGGCAAGCTAGAGTTTCCCTCATGAAGGTCATTATACGGCTCATACAAGGATTTGCAAAGACAATATCAAAATACAAACCAATAGGAGCCAGAGCGAGTTGGAGAAAAACTTTGTCCATGAGCACTTTCCTATTGGGCTATATTGAGCTCGAGGATTAGCATTGTCCATAAACAGTCTATACAATAACCCTACAGCCGTAAGAGCTATCAGAGCTTCAACTAAAGAGGATTGTGGAAGGATTTCCAAAATGTCGTCAACTAACAACAACTAACAACATGTGTGTGAAATATATATACAGTATTACATAATCTAAATCAATAGGAATTATATTTTATAATACAGTGACAGCTCTATCACACTCTGCAGTGTGCTCTTGTGTAATATAATTGAGATATTTTCCCCTTTTTGCTAGGTATTCTTCCTGCCTATAATTTTTCGGGACATCCATGTTTTTACCTACAAACAATTCTTACAAATAGAAAATATTTGCTGATCTGTTTTTCCAAATTCGCAAATGTTTGTGAAATGGGATTTTGTATTTGCCTTAGTTAAAGTTAAGCTATACTTTATTTTCCCTATGGGGAAATGGGTCCTCTGCATCAATCAATCAATCAATCAACTGTTTTTGTAGAGCGCCATTCGAACACAAGGCAACACAAAGCGCCTCACAATCCATATCACAACATCATGCATAGATCATCAAACACACACAAAAATATTAAAAACATAAACAATAAAATCACACAATTAGTTAAAAACCATAAAACATTAAAATCACACATGCAATCATAAATAGCCATAGTGCATTAAAAAGAGTTAAGATAAAATCAAAGATAACATCATTCAGTTGAATGCACAGATAAACAGAACTATTTTTACCTACATTTGAAAACTGCCTGTCTCACATTCTCAGGAAGACTGCATCCTTCTCTACACAGCGGGCCTCTGTCAGGAGCCGTAGTCGCCATAGTAACATTTCGGTATCAACGCTCTTGGACAGCAAAACCGCAGCACCCAGAGGAAACCTATGAAGACACGGGGAGAACATGCAAACTCCACATAGAAAGCTCTGTTCCGACTGGGACTTGAACCCTTCTGGCTGAGATCCGTATCACTTCAAGAATTCATCCAACCCTCCAAACACAAGCTTTCTGTTTATAGATCATAGTGTTATTGATAGTTTGCCAAGCTCGTGAGTTCGCTTGTTCTCTCTCTCTCTCTCTCTCTCTCTCTCTCTCTCTCTCTCTGCACGCGATCATATGGATCTTCAAACCCCGCCCATTAGATCCTTATACGGTCAAGGCTTCCTCCCACTCAGGCGCGCGCGCTCTGCCAGAAAATCAGCATCCACGGAGAGAGCACTTCAGCTCAGTCCACGGGCGAGGATGCTCCAGCCCTGGACGACTACTACTACTACTACTTCTTTAACTACTACTGCTACTAGTACTACTGCTCCTACTACTACTACTACAATTACTTGTACCTCCGCCTGATTTGTTTGGGATTTGTTCAGTGACACAGGACTGGTCTGCGCGTCTGGCTGTGGCATGCTGCTCTCTCGTGGACCGTGGGTTGCATCATGGGAACTGCGGTGTCCAAAAGGAAGAATGTGAGGAGCGACGCCATTTGTTCCGTAGCAGCAAAAGTTCGGTGAGTTTCATTCTCATATCCATGTTTTTTCCCCTCTGCGTTGGGTCTGCGCGTAATCCAAATCGCCTGTGCAGACTCCGATTGACCTGTGCTTATCAATTTGATTCTCAACTTTAGTTTCGAATGTTGTCAAGGTGTTTGTTTTTGGTATTGACACATTGTACGGAATCATTATTAAAGCTTTGCTGCTATTTTTTAATCAAACCTTATACAATAGAACTAATACAAAACGGTTTTTGCTGTTGCTCCTATCTCTCAAAACAAGTGTTGAGCCCAAAGCGTCATATAGTGATTCACAGGCATCTTTCTTCTTCTTCTTCTTATTTTTTTTTTTACCTAAAGGTTAATTCAGCATATGTTGGTCTTATTTGCTTATATATATTTAGTTTTTCTGTTGGAACAAATAAACAGGTGGCTATTATTTATGAAAAGGTAGGTACCCCAGCTTTAAGTCTTTTCTATAGTTTCTTTATATTTTTACAAATAACATCAGAATGAGATATTTTGCCGGGCAACTTGAACTTGCTTTTAACTGCAAACTTGAGTTGTGGTCTGAGAAAAGCCTGCAGGGCCAGTGTGCAGAGCGGTATGACAGGACTGAATACAGAAGTGTGATCGGTTCATTTTCCACTTTCCTGGAAGTACAAGCACACTGCAGAGGCACACACCTCAGAGAGAGCAGAGAGAGTGCTGACATTTCCTGCACATACCTCAGTCCCTGAAGGTCTCTTGTGAAGGGACCTTTGCTGACTCTAGGGCTGAGGGTGAGTCATGTCCAGCAGCACTCCCACTCCCTGACCACAATGAAGAACATGCTAAAGGAACAAGCATAACATGTACAGTATACATTCTGATAAGTTAAGCTAAGTGATACTTTCCTGTCCCCGTGAGGAAATTGTGTCCTCCGCATTTGACCCATCCTTCTTTGTAGCTAGATCCTCTGTCAGGGGTAGAGGTTTCTGCAGTAACAGCGGATCCATCTCCAGCTGTTGATGCTCTGACGGCCAGAATTGAAGGTTTTTACCTATTTTACATGTTTTTAGTTGTTGGGAAAACTGGAAGCAACTGGAGGAAACCCGTGGGTGAACATGCAAAAATACCAAGCCAGAACCTTCTTGCTGAGAAGCAAAGGTGCTAACCACTCAGCCACTGTAATAGAAGACGGTGCATGCTTCTCTCTATTTTGATGAGATAGAGAGAAGCTTGATAAGTGGTCATCTCTGACACCTGCAGCTCATTATTATGCATTTAGTACTCTTAAAATTAAGAAAGGAAAGGAGTCTGCACACATCCATATTCAGTCCCTTTAGTGCAAAACTTATTTAGTAAAAAGAGGATTATACTGTGGTGGGATTTTGAGGGACGGTGAAAAGCACTGAATGATGTTTACCTTTGGTCTGAGCGCGTGCAGAAACGATGTCCTCAGATGTCTTGAGTGTCCACGGCCTCCTGTCTCATTTATATTGCTGTAAAACAGTCATCAAATCAGGAGAGTGGAACACACATTAAAGGCTGTAAGTCCTTGTCTGGTTATTAAACATCCTCTATGTGTTTAAAAGGAGCGTCTCACTCAGCTCTCGTAAATCTGGAGCCGCAGACACCAGTGTGGCCCACAGCCAGCGCTGTTTAATGTGGGCCACAAGCACATGTTTAAAGAGGATTTAAGAACAGAATTATGAATAGTAACTTTGGCGTTTCATATTTGATAATAATCATAATAATAATTAAATAATAATAATGAATTGGTTTTATATAGAAGTGTTTTGGACTCTCAAAAAGGCATCACAGTATTATCCATTCACTCCATACAGTTTAGCGATAATCTACTATTGTAGCCACAGCTGCCCTGGGGCAGACTGACAGAAGAGAGGCAAGCAGTAAGTGCCATCAGCCCCCCCCACCACCAACCATTCACACACACATCAGACTCAATCTACGCAATGTGGGTGAAGTATCTTGCCGGAGGACACAACCACAGTTTGGCACTGCACAGCTGTGCCACTGTGGCACTGGTGTTCACAAAGGTCTCCCATCACAGTACTAACTAGGCCCTGCCCTTAGCTTCAGAGGTCTGACAGGATTTCTTTCTGTCAGAAAATATAAGAAGAAACATATAACAAATTAATCAACACCTACAAAAAAGTGAATGAACTCTAGAAGACTTAACTTTCAAACCACAATCAATGGGACTATGTTTTTCACTCATGGATCTATTATTTTATCTCGTTCATTCCTACAGACCCCAGTGTTCACTAACATGAACCTAGAGCAGGCACGTCAAAGTCAAATACATCAGAGGGCCAAAAAAACAAATTTGCTGCGAGCCGAGGGCCGGACTGGTTCAATGTTTATTAACTCATTGCCTGCCAGCCTATTTCAGAACAGGTACTCCCATATTGCCAGCAGTTTCTGATGATTTTTTATAGATTTTTCAAGACCCACAGAATATTGTGTACTATGACTATCTGAGGTTTCCCTGAAATGTAAAGTGCATTATAAATAAAATCTATTATTATTATTATTATTAAATCCGAAACCAGATTCTGAAAGAATTGACTGTCTACTTTCATCAGCAAAAATAATTTTGTTTCTTGCTTGTAATCCCCAGTTGAGTAGAGGGAAGTTTTACTGAAATCACCAAAAAGCTGAGAAAAAAGAGGCACAACAAATGCATCTAGCTGTTTTCAAACCATTCAGAGAGCGCTGCTGCCACCTGCTGGCTCGATTCAATATGCTCTCAAGCTTATCCCCAAACATATTAGATATAATAGACATCTGGGAACATGAAAATAGCGGAAAACGCAATTGATCGTAATCGTAATAGTGCGTCAATGGCAGGCAACGGGCCAAGTAAAATTCATTCGCGGGCCAGATTTGGCCAGATTTGGCCCGCGGGCTGACCTAGAGCTTTCACAAAGGAGGATTTTGTGGGTATTTTGGTGTCTCTTGTCATTCTGAACATTGGCGCTCTCTTCCCGCTCTGATCAGCAGCGCTCTGACTGGAACGATCACGTGTTACTCTGGTCCCGAGGAATTAGAACCACATGTCTGTCTGTTTTGTTGTCTTTAATTTAAGATAATAATAACAACCACTTCACACCTGCTGCACACAACCAGGAGAACCAGAGCTGGACAGAACACGTCACTTCTGCTAATGTTTGGGACGTCCTTGTAGCGAGGATGACACAATGAGCACAGCCAAGTGATCTGAATGTTCGGACTAATCCTAACTAATCCTCACTCTCAAAACGGTTTGCTGCTATCGCTAGTTTTCACATGCATGGCCTCCGTCACATCCTTACATCAGCTTTTTCAGATAGAAAAGTTATTTGTTTAAAGCATTTTACTCTTCATGGATAATTTATTCAGTAAAATGTACGTACCCCAGCTTTAATGGGCTTTTCCTGCTTGGATTTGCCTTGATATGTAGCAAACATGAGGCTTGTTTTGACTCAGATTGATGTTTTGACACTGATATGAGTTTTTCTTTTTAGTAGAACTGTCTCGTGTGTGTATGGATGATGGACAGGCTGATTTTGGGCAGTGCGACCTCTTTTGTTGAAAGCTTTTGTCGCTGATTCTCTGCAGTGCAGTTTCTCATGTCTGCGTAGGTTTCCTCCAGATGCGCCGGTTTCCCCTACCACTATAAACATGCACAATAGATATTTATGTACATGAGTAAGTGAATGGATGTTGGTTGGGGGCTATGATGCGACAGTGTGTTCAGCATCTCGCTTCCGTCAGCACCGGGTGTGGAGTGATTAGAAAAATATCTGAACTCTGAAAAATTGTAAAATGCTTTGGGTGACATGGTCTGTAAAATGTGCTATAACGATTAATGTTACCGACATACAGTACTTACATCTTTGTGCAGTTATAATAATCATATCGGCTTTACCACATGTGTCTGTGGACTTCAATAGGACTTTCTCGTTTCTCTTAAAACGTCCTTTTACCCCCTCAGCTCGTTCCACCTTCTCTTTTGCATCATGGACACATAAGACCTGTTGAAGCTGCGGATAAAAACATATCCCTGATCAGGGTTTCAATAGGAGTTTTACCTACTGCTGCTCGATTACCAATGAGAGGACGGGGGCAGCAGGCATGATAGCAGAGGATGGGAGACTTTTATGTTGCAATGTATCAAAACTATGTGAAAACATGTAAGGACATTGGACAGTGTTTGAACAGTTTGATTCTCTGATCTGTGTTGGCGTATTCAATGGGCTATACAAGAATAACATGAATTGAATAGAATTGAAAAGCACATGAGGGAAAAGACTGACTTTTCAGCCCCTCGCTCTGTTACTGTCTCACCATTAGCATATTTTAATAAAAAAGTCAAAAGTCAAACAATCTTGACGCTTGAGATTATTGGCAGAGACTACATCGCTTATGACAAATTGTAGATGGATTGTAAAAGCTTCCCATAAATCGTGGTTTTGTCTGTTCTTTCTCAAAGCTGTAGGCAGTTCTGGGCTGACCTCTCCGCTGCCCTGCTCTGGTCAGCATTTACACAACTGCCGCTCTCAGTTTCTGATCCCATGTCACCGTTAATATTTCATCCACACAAACTCACCTCTGAGGCCCGTGCCACTGTGCTGCGGAGCGTTGGAGCTTCAGCAAAATGTGATTTCAGGCTTTATTTCCCACATGTGCCCACAGCAGAAGCCGGCTGACCTTGGCTCTTTGATTTGTACACAGTGGTTGTTGCTCAATAAAGCATACTTTTAAAGTGGAGGGATGTCATGGAAAAAACATGACACATTATAATTTGTTTTGGTTTAATAAGCCATGTTGATGCATTCAGCCGCAATAATATTGTGCAAATTCTGAAGATAATGTGAGTATTAAGACTATTTATTTAAAGCAGGGGTGTCCAATCCAGTAGTAAGAGGGCCACTGTAGTTCACCAGACTTGTCCAGGGGCCGACAATATGGATTTTAAAAGTGCATTCGGACTCATCTGGGCTATAAAATTGGATATAAAAATGGCAAAA